TGTGGCTCACTGCTGCCTGCCCGCACCATGAGAGAGTATCTTACCACATACGGCTAGCCCGGGGGAAAACGTCAAAATTCAAACTACACCTTCTACTTAACGCCTATTGCTTTTGCACCATCATAAAGTCAAAAAATCATAAGTTGAGCCATTGTCTGTCAGGGACTGTATTCTTTCTTAGTACTTTACTCTTAAGAAGATAGTTCATATCTACGTCACCTTAAAGTTAAATGCTAATAGGATATAGGACTCAGGATACCTAGAAATTCAGTATCTTATATGTTTTAAGTTAAATATGTTTAAGTTTAAATTATGAAATGACAGGCTTAGTGGCTGGAAGTTATAAAGTGATGCAGTAGAACTGAGTAATACTGGAGATTTTGACATTTTAGTGGTTTTTTAAAAAGATTATAATTTCTCCAAATCAGAAATTATCCTAATATGTAGTTTAATTGATTCGTATGCATTGTACACTTCCACAGACATTACCATCAAAAATGGTTTCCATAATAATGATAGTATATATGAACACGTTTTCTTTGTTAATTACACCACCTTCTGGGATCGCTGAGAAATAACCAGAGATGTGACCTTGTGTTAACATTTTGTTGCCCCTTTAGGCAGCAATTTTTTTTAAGACCAAAACATAGCCATCTCTTCCTATGGTGACCTATCTTAATTTTATACAGAGGAAGCAAAAAGTAGATTGAAGGGAAGGAAAAAAATAAGAGATGGGCCCAACTGAGCTAGAGTCAGTGGTCGTCAACAAGAATGCATTTTAGATGTAAGTGGACTGGTGAATGGGTTGAAAAAATAATCTAAAGATCTGTCCACTCTCTAGAGGCAGAGGGTAGCTCACACTCACTCGTGGGATTTAGAAGCAGACAGGCCTGGGTTTGAAGCCTGGCTCTCCCACCTACAGTCTCCTTTACTTGGGGCACGATGCCTCATTTCACCAAGCCTAATTCTTCATCTATGTCCTGGGGATAAAATACCTCCTTGTAGGACTCTTGGAAGGATTAGAAAGTACAAGAACTGTGCCTGGCACACTGTGGGAACTTACTAAATGTTAAAAGAGAGAGGGAACAGGTGAACAGATGTTGATTTCTGAGGTTCTTAGTGTTAGTATTCCAAAAATTATACGTGCAACTAAAAACAAAACAAAACCCACAAACGTTTGGCTTTGAAAGTACGACGTATACTTTTTTGTTAGAAATTGGGAGTGTGGCCACAGAGGTCCCCTCAGCTATAGCTTTTTCTGGCGATGTCACCCGTGTACAACTTGTACTAGGAAGGGGCATTCTGTGGCTAGTGAAAAGCCTCTGACTTTGCCAAGTTTCTGTCCCTTTAGACTGGTCTGGAGACAAATGGCCTCCACAACCTTGTACGTGCTGTCCCTTTGTTCTGGAAAGTTCTTTACCTTTCCTGCTCGTTCTAATCAGTTCTCAAGATCTAGTTATTCTTTCTTCTCTCCTAGGGCCTCCTCCATTGCGTCTTAACTGTGTGGGTCTCCGTCCTCTCCGCTCCTGGTCCCTGCCTCCCCTCACCACATGTGAGGATGTGAACTGAGTGACCGCCAGCCTCATTGTTGGGCGGGGTTCTGTTACCACGTTGAGTAGAGCAGCAAGGGAATGGGAGAGAAACAGAGTACTGTTTTGCTTGTTTAGTAAAAGGTTCTCAGCAAATGAAGAAAATTCTCCTTCAGGCTTACAAAAAGTTTATGATTTTTCAATTCTGGCTCAGCTTCTAAGCAGTCCTCAGGGCAGGAATCTTAACCCCCGACTTCCCCACCCGCACCGGCTTTCCCAAGGGGCAGGCATCCTTTGCTACATTGGCTAAATCCATCAGAAAGTGCTTGGGAGCGCGGCTGACCTGTGGGAATCAGTCATCTGATTGCTAAGGTCGGTATAAATTACCTTCTTCAGCGTTTTGAGAACTGAAGTTGGTATGTTTTAGTTCAGGTCTAGAAAAGTGAAATCAAGAATTAAAGGAATTTTGCCAGAGTAATTTTGGCCCTGGGAGGTTTCGATTTAAAATATCCAGAAAATGTAAAGTGGTTTATTTAGCTCTGACTTGAATTCCCTGCATAATTATTATTCCCCAAACAGACCTCTTTGCCTTTATGCCAGTTTTTCCCTAGGCCTTTCTTTGCCTGGAAAAATCGCGGTTATCTTTGAGGGCCCAATTGAGCTGTTCTGTGCTGAGAGATCTTTGACAACCCCCTTTTCCCAGGCAGAGCTAACCGTTTGTCCTCTGTGCCCAGGTGCTGTTTTCACTTCACTGATAGCCTTTATCTTCCTGTTGGGTTTGTGGTTTAATTATCTGTTGGTACTGACAGAAAACAGAACCTCAGAGCCTCAACTCACACAGTGCTTGGTGTTGGATTGAATTTAAATTCACTGTGTGTTGTTAGTTTAAAACAAATCTGGTATTGCTTTCATACAAATCCGGACGTTTTCTACCATCTGAGTCACTGACAGAGCTTACAATAGATCCACAGAGTTACGGCTATGCTTTGAGCCCCAGTATTTGGCACTAGAAAACCTTTCCTGAAGGCATGTAAATCACCATCATCACATAAATTTTTACAATGCCAGACACTGGAGTAATTATCTTTTCTCCCCCAAAGGTAACAGCTTTATTGAGGTATAATTTACATACCACAAAATTTATGAGGTATAATTTACATACCATAAAATTCACTAATTTTAAGTGTACAATTTAATGATTTTCAGCATATTTAGACTTGTGCAACCACAATCCCAATCTAATTTAGAATATTTTTATCACCTCAAAAAGAAACCTCGTGCCCCTTTATAGCTACTTCCCATTTCCACGCCCAACCCTTACTTTTCTGTCTCTATGGATTTGCCTTTTCTGGACATTTCATATTAATTGAATCATACAATATAAGTTCTTTCCTTTCTGCTTCCTTTTACTTACTGTCTTATTTTGGAGGTTCATGCATGTTGTAGCATGAATCAGTACTTCACACTTCCATGGATGAATACGTTTCCATTGTATGGATATACCACGTTTGTTTGTTCATTCATCCATTGATGGGCATTTTGGATTGTTTCCACTTTTGACTATGATGAATAATGCTGTCATGAACATTCCTGAGCTAGTCTTTGTGGGAACACACGTTTCATTTCTCCTGGGCGGATACCAAGAGCGAAATGGCTGATTCATGTGGTAACTCTGTGGTTTAACATTTTGAGGAACTGCCACGCTGGTTTCCAAGGGCTGCAACATTTTGCACGCCCACCAGCAAGTGTACGAGGGTTCCAATTTCTCCACATCCTCGTCGGCACTTGTTATTGTCTTTTTTACTTGAGCCCTACTAGTGGGTGTGAAGTGGTATCTTCTTATGGTTTTGATTTGCATGTCCCTAATTAACAATGATGTTGAACATCTTTTCATGTGCTCGTTGGCCTTTGGTATATCTTAGAAAAGGACTAAGTGCTTTCGGGGCATTATCTCTTTGAACTAGGTACTGTTACAATTCCTGTGAGGAAACTGAGGTGTGGAAAGTTTGTGTTGCTTGTCCAAGGACACCTAGCTCGTCAGTGTCGAGATGATTACATTTGTGTTAAAGGTGGGGTCAACTGGAAGATGAAATTGTTCAACACTGAATTAAGGACACGGTGCAGGGGCAGATGTTCATTCAGGTCTCCACCTCCTGGATCCTGTGACAAAGCAATTAGCTAAGAATCATTTGAAAAATGAAGCAACCCATTTAATCCTGATCCGTAATTACTGTGATTAGATCCCTTTTGTGTGGTTTTATGCAAACCATAATTCCTCCTCTTTTTAAGAATCAAATGACTGCAACTCCCTCCTTTCTAATAAAGCTCCGCCCCCTCTCTCTAGTCTGTGCTCCCTTCCTCCCAGCTCTTAAGCAATGAGCTGAAGGGTTTGTGCTGAAGCCCTCGTTAGGGCTTTTGTGGCTTTTACTGTTTGGTTTCTTCACTTTCACGGTATTTGCCCCTTGGCTGTGGTCTCTGTTCTTGTGTGAGTTCATTTGTCTCTGCTGTCTGCATTTGACCCCCTAGAAACTTTGGGGGGTTGTTTAAATCCGCATCAGACCAGCCCACTTCAAGCTTCCTCACTGATTTCTGCTGCTTTAAATGCTAATTCTTGTGTTACTCAGCTCGACAAGTTCAGGACAGTGTCAGACAGGATTTAACACTCATTTGTTTTTACCTTGGAGGATTCACAAATGTATCTCTTTCTAGTTTTCTCCTTATTAGGAATGAAATGAACATCGAATTCCTATAATTGTTGCAATCTTAACCTCCTTCTAGCCTCAGTGAAAAATCATAACAGTTCTAATAGCGGGTAAATCAGTCACCCTTGCAGAATTTTTCCATTCAAATATTGAGCCATGTGAAGCTGTTTTTAGCTGCTCTTGTGACTTTACCGGGTTCAGTCCTGGTCTGTGAGATTCCAGCATCTGCAGACGCACAAATCAGGCAAAAGCCAGGGGTGGGACAGTGCACAAGGCTCTCCTTGCTTTCTAGCTTCCAAGCAATAAAAGGGAAAGTTAAGACGGCAGGGAAAGGGAAAAGGCAGGGTTAGGAATGAAAGCCATCACGATGATAGGTCACTATTGACAGGATGTGGGGCCCGAGAATAGAAACCTAGAGTTGTTCTGAAGTTTGCAGGGCCAGCACAGCCTAATTTTGAGGGCAGCTAGAAACAGCTTGATCTTTTCCCAATGTGTGTGGAGTGTTTTTATAACAGCTTGTTCTCAAGCTGTCTCCTATACTGGCAGCCTCTTTTCTTGCTACACTTCATGCCGTGTTGCTGAGCTTCTCCACCCATGCCTGCTCTAAGGTGCGGGGAATGGGTTACAGATTGGCTACATACAGATTGGCTACATAGTGCTCCCGACAGCATGGCAGCAGGCAAAGCCCAGGGCAGTTGGAGCCCCTTGGCCAAACAGATACCTCTGGCTGAGAGCAGCTTTGCCCATTTTTTGTTTTTTTTCTTTATAGGAGCTGACAAATGTAGTTGACCCTTGAATGATGGAGGGGTTAGAGGAACTTGTCCTCCACACAATTGAAAAATCTGTGTATAACTTTTAACTCCCCCAAAACGTAACTACTAATAGCCCGCTGTTGACTGGAAGTCTTACCAATAACATCAACAGTCACTTAACACATATTTTGTATGTTTTATGTATTATACTCTGTATTCTTACAATAAAGTCAGCTAGAGAAAAGAAGATGTTTAAAAAAATCATAAAGCGTCTCGAGCTACACTTAGCCATCATACCTCCTTAGTCTCCTCCAATCTGGGACAATTTCTCAGTCTGTCTTTTTCTTCTAAGATCTTCCCGTGTTTGAGGAGTGCAGGTCTGATGATTCCTCGTGATTAGATTCAGGTTATACCTTTTGGGCAAAGACACTACGGAATTGATGCCGTGGATTCCACACAACGCAAATTTGTCCTGATAGTGATGATAACTTTTTTTTTTTTTTTTGAGACAGAGTCTCGCTCTGTTGCCCGGGCATCAAACTCCTGGGCTCAAGCGATCCTACTGCCTCAGCCTCCCAAGTAGCTGGGACTACAGCATGCCCCACCATGCCTGGCTAATTTTTTCTATATATTTTTAGTTGTCCGGCTAATTTCTTTCCATTTTTAGTAGAGACGGGGGTCTCGCTCTTGCTCAGGCTGGTCTCAAACTCCTGACCTCGAGCAATCCTCCCGCCTTGGCCTCCCAGAGTGCTAGGGTTACAGGTGTGTGCCACTGCGCCGGGCCGATGATAACTTTTTATCACTTGGTTAAGATGGTGCCTGGCCAGATTTCTCCACTGAAAAGTTAGTATTAGTATTTTGTATTTATTACTAAGTAATGAGTAGGTATTTGTGAGAAGACGTGTTACAACCATTTAGATATCCTGTTTATCATTCACTCCCCAGTTTTGCCACCCATTGATAGTGCTTGCCTGACCCAGTTATTACTGTGATAGTTACCAAATCATGATTTTTTTTGAACTTCATCCTTCTCTAGGTTTATTAGTTGACATTCAACTATAAGATAGAGCCTTTTCCCCATGTGTTTGTTTATTTTTATGTATTCCTAGGGACTTGGATGCCTAGTTTAGTCAATGGATTACAATCCACTACCATTTCTACTGACTTTGCTGCTCAAATTGTCCCAGACGTGGCCAGTGGGAGCCCCTTCAAGCTGGCTCCTGTATCCTTTCAACAAGTCTCAATCATTGTCTTTGGCACAGGAGAGGTTCCAAACTAATCTGGTACTTCACATGCCCAGGCTTGGAGTCAGCCGTCTTCTCCAAGGAGCCCTGATTCTATTGAATAGAGCATGGTGTTTAGAAATCACAGTCTGGGCACTAGACATGTTCATTGCTGCATGGGGATTGTTACTTCTATGCTCTTTCAGGGCTCAGAGCCAGGGAAAAATCTATATGCATGTATACACATAATATCTGTCTACCTGCATACCACATGCTTGCCACATACACATGCGTGCTGAAACACACATTCCAACTCACACACTCTCATACTCACACATTCACATGCGTGTACACATCTATATTTTAACTTTTAAAGTGTATGTGAAAAACCACAAGTCCACGTTGATATCTGCAATTCCAGTCCAACAACATGGGCTTATTCTTTCCACTTTCTTCTTCAGCAGTGAGAAACCTCAGTATACTCATTCACTTTTTCATTCCCAGTCTATGCAGCTCCATGGCGCCCAGCTGCAGTCCCACCCTGGGACGTGCTAATACACCTTCCACCTGAGCTGCGGCTTTGGGAAGAGAGAAGGAGCTCTGAAAGAATTGTGAAACCTTTATAAATCTATTCGTGCTGGGAGGCAGTGAAGCTATGGTCATTACAGCCTGACTATATAAATTCAAAGCAGAATTTGAATTTATAATTCAAATTCTAATTGAATTATAAATTAGAGTACTAGAGCTGCCTAGTACTGCCCAGTACTGCCTGACTTCATGACCTCGGGCAATATGTTGGACCTCTTTAAGTCTCACTTGCTCATCTGTAAAATGGGGATAATAATTGTGCCCATTTCACAAGGTTGAGCATTCAATGATAATCTACATGAAATAATTATAAGTATTCTCTCAGTGCTATCTTTTATATTCCATCGTGTTGGCCAGGGGCCCAGCAAGAAACAGACAACACAGTCAAATTAGGCTAATCAAGAAAGGCTTAATACAAGAACTATAATTGAAAGTGTGGGCAGCGTAGAGGGAAACTATAAGAAATACTGCAACACCCAGGACCAGTAATAGTGAAACTGTTACTATTTCTACACCTGACGTGGGCAGTAGTTGGAAAAAGTGCTGTGGACAGAGGGCCCCTTCAGGAAGAACTGTGACTTTCAAACTTGGGTCAAAAGATGCAGCTGTGCTGCTGGGACCAGCAAGAGAGGAGCTGAGAGGAGCGAGCTGGCCGCGCTGGCAAACGGAAGGGATGATTTAACAGTGAACCACGAAGCATGGGTGATGACACTGATGGCTGGCACCAGGGGCTGCAATGCCTCCCCTTTTCTAATGAGGAAACTGAGATGTACCCTCTCTCCTCCCCCTTACTGGCAAACCCGACCAGAGTCAGAGCCCATACACTCCGTGCACTTCAGCCCTCTCGCAGGGTGGGCAAGAGAGTGGAGGGCATCTAAATGGCCACATGGATGATTTTCAGTGCAATTATTTAACTTTTTTGTAAAACTGGTTTTGATGGAATTCTTGTAATAGTGTGTCAGTATATTGTCATCTGGATAGTCCCCAACCTCGTCTTCATAAGAAAGGTTAAAAATAAACAAGTTTCCAAGACCGGTCAGGAGAGCAGGTGTTTCGAGGATTGTGATGGGTGGGAGTCCGGGAAGCACGAGGGCGAAATCTGAGCTCCGGCTGTACCAGGTGGGAGCAGAGGAAGAGGTACTTTGGGCGTGGCGAATTGTTCTCTGCAGAAAGAGAACCTGTAACAATGGTACACAGCTACTTTGTCCCTTGAGATTACTTCCAGTTGCCTGGTTAATTAGTCAAGGGCCAGGGCTTGGATTCTAGTCCAACCTGGGGCCAGGCATACCCTGGATCATGCCTTCTGTTTGTGACTGCTCGGAACACGCAGAAATGTGATCACCGGAAGAGGGGGCTGAAGAGGTGGAAATTGGAGCTGTAAGAAAAAGGTTCGTCCAGATGGTTTTGTGAGCAATAAAGAAGTTGGAGGGAAAGGAAAAGAAATTTCATAGTGTTTCTAGCCTAGGCATATTCTCAATATTAGTGTTGATTGACTGGATGCGAGAGAAAGAAAAGGCATGATGGGGCCGGGGGAGTGGCTCACGCCTGTAATCCTAGCACTCTGGGAGGCCGAGGCAGATCGTTTGCGCTCGGGAGTTCGCGACCAGCCTGAGCAAGAGTGAGACCTCGCCTACTAAAAAAACAGAAAGAAATTATCTGGACAACTAAAAATATATATAGAAAGAATTAGCCAGGCATGATGGCGCATGCCTGTAGTCTCAGCTACTCGGGAGGCTGAGGCAGGAGGATCACTTGAGCCCAGGAGTGTGAGGTTGCTGTGAGCTAGGCTGATGCCACGGCACTCTAGCCCGGGCAATAGAGTGAGACTCTGTCTTAAAAAAAAAAGAAAAGAAATGTTGGAAAAAGAAAGGCATGTGCCTTAACCACAAGTGACCACAGCTCTCCTTACATCTCAGGGTTTCTCCATGAAGCAGATCTGGGCCCTGAAGCCAAGACGTTCCTGGCCCTCCCAGAAAGGGCACAGGTTGGTACAGGGACCGAGAGCAAGAGCTTGGGAGCAAAGCCACTCATGTTCAAGTTCCAGGTCTGTCCTTTCTAGCTGAGTGACCTCGGGGCATTAAAGGGGCGGGGGAGTGCAAAGACCGGTAACCTTCTGAGTCTCAGTTTCCTCATCAGGAAAGTGGGGGTCCTTGTAGCCCCCAGTGGCAGCTATCAGCATCACCACTCATACTTCCTGGGACCCTGTTCTGCCATCCATTCTGCCTGTCAGTGCAGCCCCCTCCCTGTCCTTATATAATCTAGATTGTAAGTGCCTTAGAGGGCAGGCACCAGTTCTGTGTTGAGGATCAGAACAGGTTTTTGAATTAAGTTTTAAGCACCTGTTTTCTCATAGCTCCTTTCCTCCTGGACACTGCTCACGGTAGGAAGAGGAGGTGGTTAGGTCATGGCTGACGTGGCTGGCGTCAGAGGAACCAGAGTGGAAACTCCCTTAGCAGTCAATCTGCTTAAGGAAGAAGTGGTGGGGGCTCTGGTATGTAGTACTGCAGAGTATTTGACCACATGGGCTATCTGTAAATATCAGTTACTCAAAACAGTCTCCTGATCCCCACTAATCTGAAGACTCCCTTGGAAAAGATTTTTCTGAGAGAAGAACCATGACTCATTCATTCATTCATTTTTGGTAAAGTATTATAAAACATAGACAAGTTGGTCAGGTGTAGTGGCTCATGCCTATAATCCCAGCATTTTGGAAGGCCGAGAAAGGAGGGTCGCTTGAGGCCAGGAGTTAGTCCAGCCTGGGCAATATAACAAGACTCTATCTCTACAAAAAAAAAATTAAAAAATGAGCAAGGCATGGTGGTGTGAGTGCCTGTGGTCCTAGCTACTCAGGAGGCAGAGGCAGGAGGATTACACGAGCCTGGGAGTTCAAGATTGCAGTGAGCTATGATCACACCACTGCACTCCAGCCTGGGTGACAGAGCAAGACCCTGTCTCAAAAAAAAAAAAAAAAAGTGCACATACCATACATGTTCAGCTTAATGCATTTTCACAAAGTGAACATACTCATGCAACCAGTATTGTAGTCACTACCCTGATGTCTAAGCATACATTACTTTTAACTGTCTTTGTACTTTATGTAAATAGAAATATATAGCATGTACTCTTTCTTCTGTTTTTTTTTTCCCCTCAACATTGTTTGTGAGATTCATCTGTTTTGTTGCAGACAATTGTATTTCATTCATTCTCATTGTGATATAGAGAGGAG